AAGGGAGACATCGGACAGTGTAAAATATGACAAAATAATAATTTATAAATTATCAAGGGTTCATGAGGGAGGGGGGAAAATGAGGAGTTGATGCCAGGGGCTTATGTGGAGAGCAAATGTTTTGAGAATGATGAGGGTAATGAATGTGCAGATGTGCTTTATACAATTGATGTATGTATGAATTGTGATAAGAGTTGTATGAGCCCCCAATAAAATGATTTTTATAAAGAAAAGAAAACAAATGAAAAATTTACTCTTTTTGTTTAGAATAAAGATCAACTGTTCGAAAAAGACAAATAAAGTACACTTTCAGTTATTAGAATATACTAAGAATGAAACATATCAGGGAGACACATAACAAAATGTTTCCTTTGGTTAAAAGAGTAGTACTCTGGGCATTATTGACAAATCAAAAGGGTGCAATCCCTTTTCATCCACCACACACATCTTGTATATAGCTACTATTCTTTACCACAGCATAAAATGTTTCAGGATTTTTTAAATTTGCTAGATGGAACTTTGCTAATGTAACTTTTTCACATTTAGGAGGGAAAAAAGTATAGAGAAATGAAGATGGAAATTTCAAATGTAAATAAAACGGTGGTGGTGCATTCCACTCAGTTCCAACTCACACGGAGGCTGTGTACAAGAGAACAAGACACTGCCTGGTCTTGCCCCGTCCTCATAATTGTACCTCTGTCTGAGACACTACGTCAGTTCTCTTTCTGCTGACCCTCTAGTTTACTGAGCATGATGGCCCCTCCTGAGAACAGGTCCAAAATATGTGAGAGAAAAGTTTTGCCAACTTCACTTCTATGAAGCAATTTGGCTGTACTTTGTCCAGGACAGATTTGTTCATTCTTCTGGCCAAACCAGACCCACTACCAGTCAGTTCTGACTCATAGTGACACTGTATAATGTTGGTTAACTGTAAATCTTTATAGGAGCAGGCAGCCACCTCTTTCTCCCGGGGAACTGCAGCTAACAGGGTTGAATTACTAACCTTGTGGTTAGCGCAAAACCTAACCCCCAATGCCACTAGGACTCCTTCTGGCAGTCTACCAACGGCTGTAGTCAGAAATCGATCAAACACGCAATCAAGATGCATTAATGGTGATTGGTGATTTGAATGCAAAAGTTGTAAATAAGAAGGAAGAATAGTTGGAAAATATGGACTTGGTGGTAGAAATGAAGCTAGAGATCATATAATAGAATTTTGCAAAACCAACGACTTGTTCATAGCAGATACCTTTTATTTAACAACACAAACGGTGACTATGCACATGAACTTCCATAGAAGGGATTATATGTCGATCATTTGGATCCGTTCCCCCATTTCTTCCCCACCCCCCTTCCCCTTCCCCTCCTGGTATCCCTACTCTCACCATTGGTCCTGCAGGGATCATCTGTCCTGGATTCCCTGTGTTTCCAGTTCCTATATGTACCAGTATACATCCTCTGGTCTAGCCAGATTTGTAAGGTAGAATTTGGATCATGATAGTTTGGGGGTGGAGGGAGATGGGTGGCATTAAAGGACTAGAGGAAAGTTGTATGTTTCATCAGTGCTACACTGCACCCTGACTGGCTCGTCTCTTCCTTGTGACCCTTCTTTAAGTGGATCTCCAATTGTCTACAGAGGTCTTGTGGTCTCCACTCTGCACCCCGCCTCATTCACATGCTTAATCTCATCCAACAATGGCTGCAGCAGTACACTGACAGGAAACTGCCAGAAGTTCAGTTCGGATTCAGAAGAGGCTGTGGGACAAGCAATATCATAGTTGGTGTCAGGTGGATCTTGGCTCAAAAAAGAGAATACCAGAAAGATACTGTGTTTCATTGACTTGGACACAGATCAAGAGGCAGTTGTGTGAACAGAACAAGGGAATATGGCATGGTTTAAAATCACAAAAGTTGTGCATCATGGTTGTATACTCTCACTGTAATTGTTCAATCTATATGCTGAGCAAATCATCAGAGAAGTTGTATTATATGAAGAAAATGTGGCATCAGGATTGAAGGAAGGCTTATTAACAACCTGCAGTATGCAGATGACATAACCTTGCTTGCTGAGTGTGAAGAAAAATTGAAGCACTTGCTGATGAAGATCAAGGATTGTAGCTTTCAGCATGGATTACAACTCAATGTAAAGATAGCCAAAATTCTCATAACTGGATCAGTAGGTTACATCATGAT